AAAGTTAATAGAATCGACAAATCATCAGACGTCCTTTTTATCATCATTTGTATATATATTGTCGATACATAGAAATAAAAAGCATACAAATATATCATTTTCAAATGAACTGATCCAGAACAACGTGATGTGAAATAGAACAGCATTTTTCATTTCAATCAGCATCAAAAGGCGTTTGAAAATACTCATAGATAAAGATTGTACATCCTTATCGCAAAACAACATTAAACCTCTAAAAGGTCAGACAGACACCAACCACACAAAAAGTCCCGATAATTGATAAACAAGAAGATTTCGTTACAATCGAAGAAAAGGGTCGAGGAAAATGGTTAATAGAGACCTAGAAAGAAAACAAATAAATGGAATTGATATTTGTTCGAACCAAATAGTATTTAACAGACCTATGACGATAGGGTATCGACCAAATAGTATTTAACAGACCTATGACGATAGGGTAAAGTCCAGGTCGGATAGTGTAGTAGTGGAGCCATAGCTGGCCGTCAGCATCCGTCTCACATCTACAACATAAACACAACTCTTCTTAGTTAGTTCTGTTAGGGCAAATACTTACAATTACTCTTCGCATATCCATTTCTGTACCCTCCCTTTTACTCATAGAAACAGATGTTAGGGGTAAGAGTTAGGTATCCATTTCTGTACCTCCTTTTTACTCATAGAAAAAGATGTTCACAGAATTTCTTAAGAAAACAATTATTTTTAACATTTCATCCCCCGCTTGCAAAAAATGTGTGTGCTCACCAAATCTGGTTCAAATGTTTTCGAATGGTTGTTATATGGAAACCAATTTAGTAATAAATTGATGAATATTCTTAAACTTCATGGTGATCATGAAATACACATAACCCTATATATGTCGATTAATAAAATGTTCCAGCATTTCGAATTCAGACCTATTTTCCCTAAAAAGTACCCCTGCCTGCTGTTGTAATTCTTCTGATGAGGATTTTGATCGCTCCATAGTCCTATCTTATCTAACAAAAGACCTCCATTTCTGCTTTAAGTAATGGTTTCCTACTTAATAAGTTCGGACTTCTTGATATGGATATCGAGGTCCTCGTACAAACACGAACTCCAGTATCCTGGAGATAGTTCAGATAGTCGGTATACATGTAGATACTAGACGCTTTCATTAGATAACAACTGATTTATTTTACTTCTTTCATAGATCTTGGTCATCTGGTTTGCTGACTTATATCAACAACTGTGATGTAGCCAATTACAATAACACAGTCATGTTATTGATATATTCATAACCGACTTCTGTGATTATCCATCCATTACTAGAATACGATGTATATACACTGGGTATTACTGTAAGGAGAAGACATCCATAGGTTTTGCATGTTGCTCACTTTCTTTTACATACAAACAAACAAATTTAACCAAAGTAAGCTTTACACTTGCCAACATGCATGTGCACACCACATATGGTCGAAATACAATAATGTCTAGGGGATTCATTGCACATTCATTAGTATCCCCGTTTTCCCAAAAGCTATGGATAAATGATGGACACCACAACAACATCTGGGGGACAAACCAACATGCTATACCAACAAATGGAACAGACGGACGATGGTTGGAACTGAATCTTGTTTTCCCATATCTATCATCAAGCAAATTAGACGGTAACAGACGGACGATGGTGCGGACTGAATCTTGTTTTCCCATACCTATCATCAAGTAAATTAGACGGTAACAGACGGACGATGGTGCGGACTGAATCTTGTTTTCCCATACCTATCATCAAGTAAATTAGACGGGAACAGACGGACGATGGTACTGGCTGATTTTTGTTTTCCACATCTATTATCAAGGAAATCAGATTGTAATAATCAGATAATGGTCGCAGGGTACTCAATCCTTTAATCTGTAGCTAGGAAAGGATTAATATATCTGAATCGAGTCTCTTCCTAAAGGCTGTGCCAAAGTTCCACGTCTGATGCCCCAAATACCTACATAATCATTGACATTTGTCTCCAACCACGTACCTACTACTGTTTGTAAATGTCGACAATGACATTGTAAATGTCGACAATGACATTGTAAATGCAACATAAATATCAGATATCAGATGCTGTCATCTTTGTCACATATTCCATGTGCTATTGACGACGATGTATAGCACTAAATTCACAATAACAACATAAATTATCACCACTACGAGGAGAAAGCGTGAATAGAACTAATCACTTATGCAAGGTAGAGACAGAGAAAAATAACTTGACAAAGCGCGTGCTGAACCTAAAATAGCTCCTTCTTCTATTGATATTAATTTGTCTACATCACACGCTAGATGTATTCTAGCAGCCCAGTAAAGCTGATAGCTTTGCTTCGAGAGATTTATATTCTTTTATGTATGGCATCATAAACCCATTATCAATATTATTTACGGATAACATTAATTAGAGTAACTGCTAACTTCATTTAAAGGAGAGACTTGATTACTGACTTACTGACTAAAAAAGCTTTCTCTTCTCAATGATATTTTGTGGTAATGCCAACGACATTTTCACCACTTACAATTCAAGAGGTTGTGTACGCGTACAGAGCCGTTTGTTTGAGTAAGGAGTTTTTTCTTTTCCGTTTTTACATTAGTATTTTACGTTTCTGGAGATCAAAAATACTTACTGATTATACTAGTTTCGATTTACAGTTAATGATCCCGTTATTACAAATACTAAAATAGTTAACAGTAAACCACTTTTATTTTAATTTGGTATAATGTAAGCAATATTTGTGTATTTTTCAAAATAGCATGTGCAGATTTATAGAAACTACATGGTAATGTATTTGTTCTAATATCCTACACATGTTTTGTCAATTTGATAACAAGAAAATTAATGATTAAATCAAACTACCAGCAGAACTCGTTCTTGCCTAGACGTTCTATCGAACCAGTGTGAAAGCCCCCAAAGGGATTTACAAAAAGGTTAGAAATATGCCATTACAAATGGAATATCCAATGCCATACTCATGTTCGATAATAATGTTAATGATCTGGAAATGTCCATGGCTGGTTAACTCTACATAATGAGGCTTAATATATAACGTTGCGACCACCACGCTTTGTTTAATTAAGTATAATTTCCATCACCGATGATTAAATTTAAGATTGGCCATATACCTATTCTCCCATTACCGCGAACATGCCGTTGAGTACATACTAAATGCGTTCTTACTGCATCAGCGCTCATCTTCCTGAATGTGAAGTGAAACTCAGAAATCTCTGAAAATAAGCTCTCTATACGGGACTTTATAGACACAAAAAAACACCGAAATGAGGCAAAGAGCTCCAACTGACTCTGATGTCCCAAATACACATATGCTATATAGCATTTTGCTTGTAGATGCTATTTTAGTATTATTCTAAAGAATTGCCTGTCTGTGAGCAAAAATTGACAGTAAACAAAATACCAAATATACAACAGTATACAAGATACCAAATATTGACAGCATCAAAACTACTAAATATTGACAGTAAACTAACTACCGAATTTTGAACAGTATACAAACTACCGAATATTAACAGTATACAAACTACCGAATATTGACAGTATATAAGCTACCAAATATTGACAGCATACAAACTACCAAATATTGACAGTATACAAACTACCGAATATTGACAGTTTACAAACTACCGAATATTAACAGTATACAAACTACCGAATATTGACAGGATACAAACTACCGAATATTGACAGTTTACAAACTACCGAATATTAACAGTATACAAACTACCGAATATTCACAGTATATAAGCTACCAAATATTGACAGAATACAAACTACCGAATATTGACAGCATAAAAACTACCGAATATTGACAGTATACAAACTACCGAATATTGACAGTTTACAAGTTACCAAATATCGACAGTAAATAAACTACCAAATATTAACAGGATACAAATAATCAAACATTGACAGTATAAAAAATACCAAATATTGGCGGTAAATAAACTACCAAATATTTATAGAACACAAACTACAAAATACACAACAGTATACAAACTGCCAAATATTGACAGTTCACAAATTACATTTATGAACAGTATACAAACTACCAAATATTGACAGTATATAAACTACCAAAAATGACTGTTTACAAACTACTAAATATTGGCAGTAAACAAACTACCGAAAATTGACAGAATACAAACTACCAAATATTGACAGTTTACATGCTAGAAAATATACAACAGTATACAAACTACCAATTATATATCATTATACAAATCGCCAAATATTGACAAAGACAAACTACCAAATATTGACAGCATACAAACTACCAAATATACAACAGTTGCAAACTATCAAATATACAATAGTATACAAACCACCAAATATTGACAGTATACAAACTACCAAATATTGACATTATACAAACTACTAAATATTGGCAGTAGATAAGCTACAAAATATTGACAGTATACAAACTACTGAATATTGACAGAATAAAAACTTCCAAAATTTGACAGTATACAAACAACAATATACCAAATATTGACAGTATAGAAACTACTAAATATACAACAGTATACAAACAATTACATATTGACAGTTTACAAACTACATATAAAATGCAAGCTACCAAAAATACCACAATATATCAATTACCAAATATTGAACGAAATATTGACGGAATAAAAACTACCAAATATACAACAGTTATAACCCACCCAGACGACGTTTGAACAATAANTGGGGGGGGGGGGGGGGGGGGGGGCGGCTATCAATCATATTGACGTCAACAGATAACAACGGTCCGATGCATGTTATGATTAAAAGTAAATTGTATAATGTAGCAAACAGATTATTTTGTATTCGCGTGCTCGAATATGTTGCTGATAAGAATAAAGTGTCGGTTTACCTGAATGAGGGCGCCGCAATCTGTTTGTAGGTCATGGCCAGCAGAGCATGAAGGGAGTCTAAGTTTTGGATGAATGACTCGAAATCACTGCCAAGTGTGCGTAGCATTTTGTCATATCCGTGACGTAAGCAGTAAGTCAAGAAATACTCCCCAAATATTTCTAGTACGGCAGGTAGCGTCAAACCTATCAATATGTAAATACAACAGAAACACATGTATAGCCAACTTCATTAATTCATATTACTCTTTTCAATATACATTCTTTCTCTGTAACACATAACTCAGTATACAGTAATCTTACTGAACCAATGTTGGCCACTGCTTCTCTTTCTTTTGTTTCATTAATACTGCGTACATGTAATTCCTTTCTACATAATTCCATATTTCAAATATCAGAAAAATAATTACCTGCTGCTGATGTAGATATTTAAAGGATTTGTCAATACAAATGCCATTTTACATCAGTGGTCAAATTGTAAAATTGGCAGTCAGTCTCCGGTTAACAAATTTTGTTTGGTTCAAAGTTTTATATTATATAGATAAGTTATGTTTAACATTCATACATAAGCTAAGGTTAACATTCCAGCAATAAACTAAGGTTTACATTCAGACATAAGCTAAGGTTTACATTCATACATAAGCTAAGGTTTACATTCATACATAAGCTAAGGTTTCCATTCATGCATAAGCTAAGGTTTATATTCATACATAAGCTAAGGTTTACATTCATGCATAAGCTACGGTTTATATTTATACATACACTAAGGTTTACATTTATACATAAGCTAAGGTTTACATTCATACATAGCTAAGGTTTACATTCATACATAAGCTAAGGTTGACATTCATGCATAAGCTACGGTTTATATTTATACATACACTAAGGTTTACATTTATACATAAGCTAAGGTTTACATTCATACATATGCTAAGATTTATATTCCAGCAACTAAGGTTTACATTCATACATAAGCTAAGGTTTTCATTCATACATAAGCTAAGGTTTACATTCATGCATAAGCTAAGGTTTATATTCATACATAAGCTAAGGTTTACATTCATACATACACTAAGGTTTACATTCATACATAAGCTAAGGTTTACATTCATACATAATCTAAGGTTTACATTCATACATAAGCTAAGGTTTCCATTCATGCATAAGCTAAGGTTTATATTCATACATAAGCTAAGGTTTACATTCATGCATAAGCTACGGTTTATATTTTACATCAGTGGTCAAATTGTAAAATTGGCAGTCAGTCTCCGGTTAACAAATTTTGTTTGGTTCAAAGTTTTATATTATATAGATAAGTTATGTTTAACATTCATACATAAGCTAAGGTTAACGTTCCAGCAATAAACTAAGGTTTACATTCAGACATAAGCTAAGGTTTACATTCATACATAATCTAAGGTTTACATTCATACATAAGCTAAGGGTTACATTCATACATAAGCTAAGGTTTACATTCAGACATAAGCTAAGGTTTACATTCATACATACACTAAGGTTTACATTCAGACATAAGCTAAGGTTTACATTCATACATAATCTAAGGTTTACATTCATACATAAGCTAAGGTTTCCATTCATGCATAAGCTAAGGTTTATATTCATACATAAGCTAAGGTTTACATTCATACATAGCTAAGGTTTACATTCATACATAAGCTAAGGTTTCCATTCATGCATAAGCTAAGGTTTATATTCATACATAAGCTAAGGTTTACATTCAGGCATAAGCTAAGGTTTACATTCATACATAATCTAAGGTTTACATTCATACATAAGCTAAGGCTTACATTCATACATAAGCTAAGGTTTACATTCAGGCATAAGCTAAGGTTTACATTCATACATAAGCTAAGGTTTCCATTCATGCATAAGCTAAGGTTTATATTCATACATAAGCTAAGGTTTACATTCAGGCATAAGCTAAGGTTTACATTCATACATAAGCTAAGGTTTTCATTCATACATAAGCTAAGGTTTACATTCAGGCATAAGCTAAGGTTTACATTCATACATAATCTAAGGTTTACATTCATACATAAGCTAAGGTTTCCATTCATGCATAAGCTAAGGTTTATATTCATACATAAGCTAAGGTTTACATTCAGGCATAAGCTAAGGTTTACATTCATACATAAACTAAGGTTTACATTCCAGCAATAAGCTAAGGTTTACATTCATGCATAAGCTAAGGTTTATATTCATACATAAGCTAAGGTTTACATTCATGCATAAGCTACGGTTTATATTCATACATAAGCTAAGGTATACATTCATACATAAGCTAAGGTTTACATTTATACATAAGCTAAGGTTTACATTCATACATAATCTAAGGTTTACATTCATACATAAGCTAAGGTTTATATTCATACATACACTAAGGTTTACATTCCAGCAATAAGCTAAGGTTTACATTCATGCATAAGCTACGGTTTATATTCATACATAAGCTACGGTTTATATTTATACATACACTAAGGTTTACATTTATACATAAGCTAAGGTTTACATTCATACATAAGCTAAGGTTTACATTCATACATAAGCTAAGGTTTACATTCATACATACACTAAGGTTTACATTCCAGCAATAAGCTAAGGTTTACATTCATGCATAAGCTACGGTTTATATTTATACATACACTAAGGTTTACATTCCAGCAATAAGCTAAGGTTTACATTCATACATAAGCTAAGGTTTACATTCATACATAAGCTAAGGTATACATTCATACATAAGCTAAGGTTTACATTCATACATAAGCTAAGGTTTACATTCATGCATAAGCTACGGTTTATATTTATACATACACTAAGGTTAACATTCATAAATAACCTAAGAGTTACATTCATAAACAAGAGGCCCATTGGGCCTGTAACCCTCACCTGGATATCTAAGCAATCATGGCAGAATATTCTCCAAATGAGATCCAAGGGAATATGCCAGACCCCAAGGCCAATCCTTGTAGCATATATATCTGTATTCGATTTTTCATGCCCAGTAATTTTATGTATGGTTATGGGGTGGGGATCTCAACTGGTTCCAAGCTCTGACTCAGAAACTAGGTCCCTACGGTTGTGGCCAGACCCCAGGATCAATTCTTTTTGCCCAGCATTTGTATATATAGTTTTTGGGTGGGGATCTCATCCGTTTCAAAGTTTTAAGGGGTTAAGTCTGCAAGGGTGGGGCAAACCCTGGGGTCAATTCCAATATCATGACTGCATTTGTCTCTTTATGCCTAAAATTGTATATATAGTTTTGGGGTGGGGATCTTAACCGTTTCAAAGTTATGACCCAGGGGTTAAGTCTCCAAGGGTGGGGCAGTCCCCATGGCCATCCCAGAAGCATATGTGCATTCATCTCTTTGTAATTGCAAATTGTCTATATGGTTATAGGGTGGGGATCTCAACTGTTTCCAAACTGGGACTAAGAAACTAGGTCCCTAGGGGCTCGGTCAGACCCCAGGGTCTATTCTAATATCGTGACTGCATTCGTCTCTTTATGCCCAATATTTGTATATAGAGTTTTGGGGTGGGGATCTCAGCCGTTTTAAAGTTATCGCCCAAGGACTATGTTTCCAAGGGTGGGGCCAGACCCTAGGTCCATCCTGGAAGCAAATGTGCATTCTTCTCTTTATACTCAGCAATTGTATATGTGGTTATATGGTGGGTATCTCAACCATTTCAAGGCAATAGACCTTTTTTTGGCCCCACCTTTAGCCCAGGGGTCAACCCCACTATTCGTACAATTTTGAATCCCTGCCTCCCATGAATGCTTCCGACCAAATATAATCGATATCCATGGCATAGTTCTACAGAAGAAGTCGTTTATAGCAATCTAGCCAAATTGCACCCTTTTGGCCCCGCTTTCAGCCCCCTGGGGGGTCAGCCCCACCATTTGTACAATTCTGAATCCCGACCACCTAGAGATGCTTCCAGTCTAATATGGTTGATATCCATCACTTAGTTCCAGAGAAGAAGTCGCTTAAAGCAATATAGCCAAATAACCCTTTTTGGCCCCGCCCCTCAGCCCCCTGGGAGGTCCAGTGGTCCAAGGTAAAAGACCCTTAACTAAGAGAAGTGGTCCAAGGTAAAAAAAAAACTTTATTAAGAGTCAAGTGGTCCAAGGTAAAAAAGACACTTTACTTTGAGTCTAGTGGTCCAAGGTAAAAAAATTACTCATTAAGAGTCCAGTGGTCCAAGTTAAACAAAAACTTATTATTGGTCCAGGGGTCCAAGGTAAATGACCCTTAACTAAGAGAAGTGGCACAAGGTAAAAAGCACTTTATTAAGAGTCAAGTTGTCCAAGGTAAATAAATACTTTACAAAGTGTTTAGTGGTCCAAGGTAAAACATACTTATTATCAGTCCAGTGGTCCAAGGTAAGAAGTACTTTACTGAGAGTCAAGTGGTCCAAGGTAAATGAATACTTACTAAGAGTTCAGTGGAACAGGGTAAAAAGAAATGCTTAGTAAGAGTCATGTGGTCCAAGGTAAAAACAATACTAAGAGTCAAGTGGTCAAAGGTAAACAAATACTTATTATTAGTCCAATGGTCCAAGGTAATAAAGCACTTTACTAAGAGAAGTGGTCTAAGGTAAAAAAAAATACTTTATTAAGAGTCAAGTGGTCCAAGGTAAAAAATATACTTTACTATGAGTCCTGTGGTCCAAGGTAATACAATATTTATTAAGAGTCCAGTGGTCCAAGTTAAACAAATACTTATTATTAGTCCAGGGGTCCAAGGTAAAAGACCCTTAACTTAGAGAAGTGGTCCACGGTAAAAGACACTTTATTAAGAGTCAAGTGGTCCAAGGTAAATAAATACTTTACCAAGAGTTTAGTGCTTCAAGGTAAAAAAAATGCTTATTATTAGTCCAGCGGTCCAAGGTAAAAAGCACTTTACTAAGAGTCAAGTGGTCCAAGGTAAATTAATACTTATTAAGAGTTCAATGGTCTAAGGTAAACAAATACTAAACTAAGAGTTCAGTGGTCCAGGGTAAAAAAAAATATGCTTTATTAGAAGTCATGTGGTCCAAGGTAAAAACAATACTAAGAGTCCAGTGGTCCAATGTAAGCAAATACTTATTATTAGTCCAATGGTCCAAGGTAAAAAAACACTTTACTAAGAGTCCAGTGTTCCGAGGTAAAACAATACTTTATTAAGAGTCAAGCGGTCTAAGGTAAAAAAAATACTTTTTAAAAGTCAAGCGGTCTAAGGTAAAAAAAAAGATACTTTTTAAAAGTCAAGTGGTCCAAGGTAAAAAAAAATACTTTACTATGAGTCCAGTGGTCCAAGGTAAAAAAAATACTCATTAAGCGTTCAGTGGTCCAAGTTAAACAAATACTGATTATTGGTCCAGGGGTCCAAAGGTAAAAAGCACTTTACTTAGTGTCAAGTGGTCTTAGGTAAACAAAACACTTATTATTAGTCCAGTGGTCAAAGGTTTAAAACACTATATAAAGAATTAAATGGTCCAAGCTAAAAAGCACTTTACTTAGTGTCAAGTGGTCCAAGTTAAACAAATACTTATTATTAGTCCAGTGGTCCAAGGTAAAAGACCCTTAACTAAGAGAAGTGGTCCAAGGTATATCCTGTACTGACCATAACCCAGATTAAATCTTCCTTCTGTTTCCCTATATCCTGTACTGACCCTTACCCAGATTAAATCTTCCTTCTGTATCCCAATATCCTGTACTGACCCTAACCCAGATTAAATCTTCCTTCTGTTTCCCCATATCCTGTACTGACCCTAACCCAGATGAAATCTTCCTTCTGTATCCCGATATACTTATTATCAGTCCAGTGGTCCAAGGTAAAAGACCCTTAACTAACAGAAGTGGTCCAAGGTATATCCTTTACTGACCATAAACCAGATTAAATCTTCCTTCTTTTTCCCTATATCCTGTACTGACCCTAACCCAGATTAAATCTTCCTTCTGTATCCCGATATCCTGTTCTGACCCTAACCCAGATTAAATCTTCCTTCTGTATCCCAATATCCTGTATTGACCCTAACCCAGATTAAATCTTCCTTCTGTTTCCCCATATCCTGTACTGACCCTAACCCAGATGAAATCTTCCTTTTGTATCCTCATATCCTGTACTGACCCTAACCCAGATGAAATCTGCCTTCTGTTTCCTTATATCCTGTACCGACCCTAACCCAGATTAAATTTTCCTTCTGTATCCCAATACCCTGTACTGGCCCTAACCCAGATTAAATCTGCCTTCTGTTTCCTTATATCCTGTACTAACCCTAACCCAGATTAAATCTTCCTTCTGTATCCCAATATCCTGTACTGGCCCTAACCCAGATGAAATCTGCCTTCTGTTTCCTTATATCCTGTACTAACCCTAACCCAGATTAAATCTTCCTTCTGTATCTCAATATCCTGTACTGGCCCTAACCCAGATTAAATCTGCCTTCTGTTTCCTTATATCCTGTACTGACCTTGACCCTAACCCAGATTAAATCTTCCTTCTGTTTCCCTATACCCTGTAATAACCCTAACACAGATTAAATCTTCCTTCTGTTTCCTTATATCCTGTACTGACCTTGACCCTAACCCATATTCAATTTGCCTTCTGTTTCCCTATATCCTGTACTGACCCTAACCCAGATTAAATCTTCCTTCTGAATCCCAATATCCTGGTCTAACCCTAACCCTAACACAGATTAAATTTTCCTTCTGTTTCCCTATATCATGCACTGACCCTAAACCAGTTTAAATCTTCCTTCTGTATCCCCGTATCCTGTACTGACCCTAACACAGATTAAATCTTCCTTCTGTATCCCCATATCCTGTACTAACCCTAACCCTAACACATATTCAATCTTTCTTCTGTTTCTCTATATCATGTACTGACCCTAACCCAGAATAAATCTTCCTTCTGTATCCCCATATCCTGTACTGACCCTAACCCAGATTAAATCTTCCTTCTGATTGCCTATATCCTGTACTGACCTTGACCCTAACCCAGATTTAATCTTCCTTCTGTATCCCCATATCATGTACTGACCTTGAACCTAACCCAGATTAAATCTTTCTTCTGTTTCCCTATATCATGTACTGACCCTAACCCAGATTAAATCTTCCTTCAGTATCCCCATATCCTGTACCGACCTTGACCTTAACCATTATTAAATCTTCCTTCTGTATCCCCATATCCTGTACTGACCTTGACCCTAACCCAGATTAAATCTTCCTTCTGTATCCCCATATCCTGTACTTACCCTAACCCTAACCCAGATTAAATCTTCCTTCTGTTTCCTTATATCCTGTACTAACCCTAACCCTAACCAAGATTAAATCTTTCTACTGTATCCCCATATCCTGTACCGACCTTGACCTTAACCATTATTAACTTTGCCTTCTGTATCCCCATATCCTGTACTAACCCTAACCCTAACCCACATTAAATCTTCCTTCTGTTTCCTTATATCCTGTACTAGCCCTAACCCTAACCAAGATTAAATCTTCCTACTGTATCCCTATATCCTGTACCGACCTTGACCTTAACCATCATTACATTTGCCTTCTGTATCCCCATATCCTGTACCGACCTTGACCTTAACCATTATTAGATTTGCCTTCTGTATCCCCATATCCTGTACTAACCCTAACCCTAACCCAGATTAAATCTTCCTTCTGTTTCCTTATGTCCTGTACTAAACCTAACCCAGATTAAATCTTCCTTCTGTATCCCCATATCCTGTCCTAACCCTAACCCTAACCCAGATTAAATCTTCCTTCTGTTTCCTTATATCCTGTACTAAACCTAACCCAGATTAAATCTGCCTTCTATTTCCCCATATCATGTACTGACCTTGACCCTAACCCAGATTTAATCTTCCTTCTGTATCCCCATATCCTGTATTGACCCTAACCCAGATTAAATCTTCCTTCTGTTTCCCCCTATCCTGTACTGACCCTAACCCAGATTAAATCTTCCTTCTGTATCCCCATATCCTGTATTGACCCTAACCCAGATTAAATCTGCCTTCTGTTTCCCTATATCCTGTTCTGACCCTAACCCAGATTAAATCTTCCTTCTGTTTCCCCCTATCCTCTACTGACCCTAACCCAGATTAAATCTTCCTTCGGTATCCACATATCCTGTTCTGCAACCACTATATTTTAATATCTTAAAATTTTATGATATAGTATTATTCCACATAGTTCGATGATGGGATTACAAATTACCCGACTGGTGCCCTTAACATCTGCTATTGTCGTATATAATAGGACCATATAACGTATAGCTACTGTTAATGTCCATTACGGATATACATTGTACTTATACGTACCAGAAACCTCACACACTGCTCCTATGAGGACAAACGTCTTCTCGTCAAGATACTTGTGAAAAACCATAAAATCGACCCTTTCGTCGAATCCACTTTTCTCTCTGAAACAAATGATATGTTTAATGTACCAAAGGCAAACGTATCTTTCTTCAGAAAATAAAAAAAAAATCATCTGTTAAATGTTTTATTTAATAATAACTTTAATAATATGTTTGCGTAATCGAATATTATTTCTAAAAACTGCCGCATAGACAATATGTATTTATATGACTTGTCCGATTATTATTGTATCATCAGAATAACGCCCATATCCTTTCAAATACAAACATCATCTGTATTTCAGTTAAAAGCATTTGCTATAAAAGATACTATCACAACCGAATTACGGTTACTGATTGTGATATAGTTACTGTTACAGCCGAATTACCGTTACTATTTGTGATAGGGTTACTGTTACAACCGTATTACCGTTACTGTTAGTGATATGGTTACTGTTACAGCCGAATTACCATTACTGTTTGTGATATGGTTACTGTTACAGCCTAATTACCGTTACTGTTAGTACTACGGTTACTGTTACAGCCGAATTACTGTTATTGTTTGTGATATGGTTACTGTTACAGCCTAATTACCATTACTGTTTGTGATATGGTTACTGTTACAGCCGAATTACGATTACTGTTTGTGATATGGTTACTGTTACAGCTGAATTACGGTATGGTTACTGTTACAGACGAATTACCGTTACTGTTTGTGATATGGTTACTGTTACAGCCGAATTACCGTTACTGTTTGTGATATGGTTACTGTTACAGCCGCATTACGGTTACTGTTTGTGATATGGTTACTGTTACAGCCTAATTACCGTTACTGTTTGCGATATGGTTACTATTACAGCCGAATTACTGTTACTGTTTGTGATATGGTTACTGTTACAGCCTAATTACCATTACTGTTTGTGATATGGTTACTGTTACAGCCGCATTACGGTTACTGTTTGTGATATGGTTACTGTTACAGCCGAATTACGGTATCGTTACTGTTACAGACAAATTACCGTTACTGTTTGTGATATGGTTACTGTTACAGCCGAATTACCGTTACTGTTTGTGATATGGTTACTGTTACAGCCTAATTACCGTTACTGTTTGTGATATGGTTACTATCACATCCGTATTACCGGTACTGTTTGTGATATGGTTACTGTTACAGCCGTATTACGGTAACTGTTTGTGATATGGTTACTGTTACAGCCTAATTACCGTTTCTGTTTGTGATATGGTTACTATTACATCCGTATTACCTGTACTGTTTGTGATATGGTTACTGTTACAGCCGTATTACCGTTTCTCTTTGTGATATGGTTACTATCACATCCGTATTACCGGTACTGTTTGTGATATGGTTACTGTTACAGCCGTATTACCGTTTCTCTTTGTGATATGGTTACTATTACATCCGTATTACCTTTATTGTTTGGGATATGGTTACTGTTACAGCCGAATTACCGTGACTGTTTGTGATATGGTTACTGCTACAGTCGAATTACCGTTACTGTCTGTGATATGGTTACTGTTACAGCCCAATTACCGTTACTGTTTGTGATATGGTTGCTGTTACAGCAGAATTACCGTTACTGTTTGTGATATGGTTACTGCTACAGTCGAATTACCGTTACTGTCTGTGATATGGTTACTGTTACAGCCCAATTACCGTTACTGTTTGTGATATGGTTACTGTTACAGCAGAATTACCGTTACTGTTTGTGATATGGTTACTGTTACATCCGTATTACTGTTACTGTTTGTGATATGGTTACTGTTACAGCCAAATTACCGTTACTGTTTGTGATATGGTTGCTGTTACATCCGTATTACCGTTTCTGTTTGTGATATGGTTACTATTACATCCGTATTACTTTTATTGTTTGTGATATGGTTACTGTTACAGCCGAATTACCGTTACTGTTTGTGATATGGTTACTGTTACATCCGTATTACCGTTTCTGTTTGTGATATGGTTACTATTACAGCCGAATTATCGTAACTGTTTGTGATATGGTTACTGTTACAGCCTAATTACCGTTACTGTTTGTGATATGGTTACTGTACTGTTACAGCCGAATTACCGTGTCTCTTTGTGATATGGTTACTGTTACATCCGAATTACCGTTACTGATTGTGATATGGTTACTGTTACATCCGAATTACCGTTACTGATTGTGATATGGTTACTGTTACATCCGAATTACCGTTACTGATTGTGATATGGTTACTGTTACATCCGAATTACCGTTACTGATTGTGATATGGTTACTGTTACATCCGAATTACCGTTTCTGTTTGTGATATGGTTACTGTTACAGCCTAATTACCGTTCCTGTTTGTGATATGGTTACTGTACTGTTACAGCCGAATTACCGTTTCTCTTTGTGATATGGTTACTGTTACAGCCGAATTACCGTTACTGTCTGTGACATGGTTACTGTTATAGCCTAATTACGGTTACTGTTTGTGATATGGTTACTGTTACAGCCTAATTACCGTTACTGTTTGTGATATGGTTACTGTTTCAGCCGTATTACCGTTACTGTTTGTGACATGGTTACTGTTACAGCCTAATTACCGTTACAGTTTGTGATATGGTTACTGTAACAGCCAAATTACCGTTACTGTTTGTGATATGGTTACTGTTACAGCCAAATTACCGTTACTGTTTGTGATATGGTTACAGTTACGGCCAAATTACCGTTACTTTTTGTGATATGGTTACTGTTACAACCGTATTATCGTTTCTGTTTGTGATATGGTTACTGTTACAGCGGAATTACCGTTACTGTTTGTGATATGGTTGCTCTTACAGTCGAATTACCGTGACTGTTTGTGATATGGTTACTGTTACAGCCTAATTACCGTTACTGTTTGTGATATGGTTACTGTACTGTTACAGCCCAATTACCGTTACTCTTTGTGATATGGTTACTGTTACAGCCGAATTACCGTTACTGTTTGTGAAATGGTTACTGTTACAGCCAAATTACCGTTACTGTTTTTGATATGGTTACTGTGCTGTTACAGCCGAATTACCGTTACTGTTTGTGATATGGTTACTGTTACAGCCGAATTACCGTGACTGATTGTGACATGGTTACTGTTACAGCCGTACTACTGTTACTGTTTGTGATATGGTTACTGTTAAAGCCGAATTACTGTTTCTGTTTGTGATATAGTTAATAACAAAGTCATAATTTCTTTGAAAAATAATTAAGAACTTATCTTGATAACAACATTACTATAAAATTGTGTTGGTAAACATAAGCGTTCTACATTAGAGGTACTTTTCTTGTTTAAAGAAATGAGAGATAAACCTCCTTGTATTATGTTCTTTTCAAAATTTACATTCTATTCCAAAGCACCCTATAAAACCACCATTTAAATGGTGTTTAGCTACCAACCTGTCACGAAATATTACCACCGATCAGGTTAAAGTCATACGATCCTAATTACCATCAATGGTGGTGTTAAATATCTATATTACATAACATTACTCTTTAGAACAGGATGCGATGAGGCATTAACTGTCTCTATAGATTTATCGATTGGTGTTGTCCTAGGCACCTTTCTGGATCTACCAAGTGGTTTTAAAGAGCAGGAACATAATTTCCTTTCGGTGACATGTGGTATTGTTTCCGGTTTATACGATGTATATACTGTCCTTTTGTTTTCGTGACATCCCTATAAAACCACGGTTCTTGTCAAGCGGAGGCCCGTGTTTTTCCTTGCATGTGGTATTGTGCTTTGTGGGTTTTTTCTGTCAAACTATTATCTAAAAAAAATGTAGAACAATACCCGTAGTGCATTATCGTTTTACCAACATGATTCGGAACAAATGGCATATTATTTGGCTGATAGAATCTCATAGTTTTCTGTATGAACCCAGCATGTTTCGTGAATCTAAAACATGGTCAGTCTGGCTGTTTACTGTGTGCTCAGAGCTACCCAACAGGGTGATTCCTGCTTGTCAATACATCGTCTGGAACTGACAAAGAGGATGGTTATTCGAGTTTGTTGACGCATACAGGGAACGGTTAAATAGGCTCATTGCACAGGGGTTGGTTGTTGAGGCAATTTAAGGAAATGTGTAGAGACGTCAATGGGTTCCACAAGGAGAGGGACACGGGCGAGTGTAAATTAGAGTGTGAAACGTACGGGCATATATCAGAGTGTGCAACGGACGTGTGTACATGACTATGATGGGTGTATATCAGAGTGTGACAATGACGGGTATATATCAGATTGTGACAATGACGGGTGAATATAAGAGTGTGACAATGATGGGTGTATATCAGAGTGTGACTATGACTGGTGTATATCAGAGTGTGACAATGACGGGTGTATATCAAAGTGTGACTATGACGGGGGTATATCAGAGTGTGACTATGACGGGTGTATATTAGAGTGTGACTATGACTGGTGTATATCAGAGTGTGACAATGACGTGTGTATATAAGAGTGTGACTATGACGGGTTTATATCAGAGTGTGACTATGACTGGTGTATATCAGAGTGTGACTATGACGGTGAATTTAAGAGTGTGACAATGACGGGTATATATCAGATGTTAGACTATGACGGGTGTATATCGGAGTGTGACTATAACGGGTGTATATCAGAGTGTGACTATGACGGGGGAATTTAAGAGTGTGACAATGACGGGTGTATATCAGAGTTTGACAATGACGGGTGTATATCATAGTGTGACAATGACTGGTATATATCAGAGTGTGACAATGACTGGTGTATATAAGAGTGTGACTATGACGGGCGTATATCAGAGTGTGACTATGACGGGTGTATATTAGAGTGTGACTATGACTGGTGTATATCAGAGTGTGACTATGACGGGTGAATATAAGAGTGTGACAATGACGGGTGTATATAAGAGGGTGACTATGACGGGTGTATATCAGAGTGTGAAAATGATTGGTGTATATCAGAGTTTGACAATGACGGATGTATATCAGAGTGTGACGGTGACGGGTGTATATCAGAGTGTGACTATGACGGGGGAATTTAAGAGTGTGACAATGACGGGTGTATAA